CATGTATGATTAAAATTTGATTGAACATACGAAATGTCCTTAACAATGTTTTAAAATTTCAGCACTTTCGTCAGTCAAGTCCGAGAATGCATTGACGGTGTTTCAGAAGATGAAATTAACAAGCGAAAAGACCAACATTATGCATTGTGGTTAAAAGGTCAAGTCGAGCATGATGACATGACATATGCAGTATGGTTTCATGAGTTGCTCCTAGGTCATATTTTGAAGATAACTACTGCAGCTATGTATTTCACACGTGGCTATGTTTTTCATACTTATAGTCATGGCACTCAACGGGCAACTACAAACTATGGAGTTTGTGTACGAGGTGAAGTAGACTTTTATGGGATCATCAAAGAGATAATTGAAGTGGAATACCCCGGATTTGTCAGAATGAAAACTGTTCTATTCAAATATGATTGGTTTGATCCTACGGTAGGTCGTGGAGTGCGAATTAACAAATTTGGAGTGGTAGATGTAAACGCATCTCGGCGATACAATAAGTTCGAGCCATTTATACTTGCATCTCAAGCAGAACAAGTCACCTTTGTTCCATATCCTCGAGTTCGGAATACGGGAATTTCATGGCTGGCGGTTGTCAAAGTTGCTCCAAGGGGTATAATTGATGGTGTAGATCTCCCGCCAATGCAACAAGATGATTGTGTCGACATTACAGAACCGGATGTTGAAGAAAATGTTCTTTTAATTGATCCACGTAATCGACAAGTTGAAGATCTACATGAGGACGAAACTGAAGAAGGTGCTGACGAATTTCAAACAAGCAGTGATGATGATGACAATGATGATGAGGACACCAAGGAAAATGTTGATGAAGACTAATTAAATATTTTGACATTTAATTGCATGCTTTGAACGTTTCAATGTAACATTTGTCAAATTTAAATTTTTGAAAAATTAAAGCCAATTAATGAAGACTAATTAAATATTGATGAAAATTTGTTTAAGTGTTGACTTGGACATATGTTAACTATTACGACGAATTTACGACGATTATTTAGAAATTCGTCGTAAATTCGTCGTAATATGCAAACCCTAAACCCTTTAGGGTTTAGCTTTCCCAACTTACAAAATGGTTTTTTCGTTCATTTTCCTAAGTAAACTGATGTATTATATAAGAGTATGTAGTATAAGGTTCAGGAACTTGTAGAAATGTGGTTTTTATTACGACGAATTTACGACAAATTTACGACGAATGGGAGTGATCGTCGTAAATTCGTCGTAATATACCATCGAAAATACGACGAAATGTAACCCGTAAATCTTATAATCAATCTTTTATGGGGTTCAGGGGGGATTTTGATGAGGAGAATGAAATGGCTTACCATCTCATAAGGTAAAACAACTTTCTAAACAAAAAAAAAAAAATTCAAAATTTGACATATATGTGTTTATCAAGTAATCTTAAGGTGTTATATACATTTACACAAGTTGTATGGATTTATCTTACATCTTACTAAATTCTTCATTAAGTTATGTAAACATGCTAGAAAGTTATACAGACCACATTTATCATGAATAGACATGCTTGTATGTCCTTATGGATGTTTCAATTTTTGAATTTCATCAGTTTTGGTATAATTCGTCGTAAATTCGTCGTAATGTTACGACGAATTTACGACGATTAGTGGATACACAGCCGTCTTAATTTTTTTGATTTATACGATTCGTCGTAAAATCGTCGTAATGTTACGACGATTTTACGACGGATAGCACTGATCGTCGTAAACTCGTCGCAAAGCCCAGATAAAGCCACATGTGTTTGTCTTACTCGCTTTGTTGTACGGTGGGATCTTTGCGACGAATTTACGACAGATTCGTCGTAAATTCATCGTAATATTTACGTCGAATTTACGACGAATATAAATACTATATAAAGGACCTCACCCCTTTCTCATTTCGTCGCTTATCTCTCCTTCCTCTCTCTCTGCTTCCTCCTTCCCACCTCCTCCTTTTGACGCAAAAAAAAAGGTAAATAATTTTTTTAATTACTTAAAATTATAATAATTTTAAATAGTTTAGAAATTCAAACGGTTTAGGTCGGGAATTAGTTTAGGCTCGAAATTTGTTAGACTTAGGATCGGAATTTGTTAGATTTAGGATCGTAATTAAAAATTAATTGTAATTAAAAATTAATTGTAATTAATTTGAAAAATAATTTTTTTTCGGTTTTGCAGACGACGACTCGACGGAGGACGCATTACATCAATTTCATGGCGGACGGACATTCTTCCCGGGCGTCTGCCTCGGGAAACACCGGGACCGATGTCCCTTCATCTTCCGGAGCCTCCCAGGTTCCGAATACCGCGGAGCCGTCTCCACCACCGCCTCCACCACCACCTCCACCGCCGGCTGTCGAACCGGTACCCGCCCCGGCTGCCGAACCGGTACCCGCCCCTCCTCATCCGTATGCCTAGTTTACGGTTGAGGATTTACTAGCCTTACCGGGACGGGGGGCTTTACGACGTCTGGTTCCCGGAAAAGCGGAACCAGGCTCTTATTGGTAAGTAAACTTTTTTGTTATTTATTGCTAGAATTAATTAAATATTTTTGACTAATAATGTTTATTAATTGGTAGGCCGAGGAGAACGGAGGAGAACTACCTCCAATGACGAAGCTCTTCGAGACCACTCACCGGAAGAAGGACGGGAGCTTTGTCGACGCTCGGTCCGAGGAGATCTACAATGCCGCTATGCAGCGGATCGCCGAGCGGGAGACCCAGGCCACACCTGACGGTACTATCCAAGTACCGTTGACCGTCGCTGAGCAAGACCAGATTTTCGAAGAGGTATGATATCTATTTCAATTTTTTAAAAATTTATTATATTTATAATTACTTAATAAATAATTAACGTTTTTATTTTCCATTTGTAGATTGCTCCGAAGAAGAAGGGCCGAACCTTAGGGATGGACTCTATTAGAGACTGTCTTGCCGCCACGGCTTCCGGATTCCGCACGCAGGATCCGCAGCTTCGCCAGGAGCTTGCTACGGCCAATGCTAAGATCACCAGTCTTAGACATGAGCAAGTGGCCCAGAAGCAGGAGCTGACAGAGATACATGATCTCTTCGACATCATTGCGGAAGCGGTTCCGCAGTTGGCCACCGCAATCCGAGCGAGGCAACAGCGAGCACGGAGGGTTTTTGAGACCGGTGGTAGTTCCGGTACTGGACCATCGGACCACCAGACGCAGGGCGGTCAGTCTTCGGCTCCGGTCTCAGCAGCGACGGGCGGTCAGACTTCGGCTCCGGTAGTGCAGACGGGAAACGTCGCCCTAGCAGCGACGGGCGGCCAAGACGGAGAGCCTCCTCGTGACGTCGATCTCAACCTCGACGATTACGACATCATTGTATAGATTAGGTTTTTTTGTAAAAAACAATTTGTATTACTTTTTTTTTATTTATAAATTATTTTTGAATTTAAATTTCAATTTAAATTCAAATTTTTTCTATTTTTAATTTTTGATTATTTTAAAAATTCATTAATTAAATTAAAATCGAATTAAATAATTAATTTATAAATCGACGTAAATTCGTCGTAAATTTACGTCGATTTAACGTCGAATGTTTAACGACGAATTTACGACGAATAAGTTTACGTCGGCTTTACGTCGAAACTTTACGAAGATTTAACATCGACAATTAAAAATTTAGTTTCTCTTAATTGAAATTGTTCGTCTCCTAATCATTGTTAAATCGATGTAATTTTACATCGATTTTACGTCGTTTTTATGATGGAGTTCTTTCGTTGTACATCCGTTGGAAATTTTACGACGCATTTACGACGAATAGTTCCCGACGATTTTACGACGATTTTCCGGAGTTGGTAATTTTACGACGATTTTACGACAATTTCGGTTTTACGAAGATCGTTTTACGACGACTTTTAATTTGTCGTTAATTCGACGTAAATGCTCTTTTACGTTGATTTTACGTCGATATCTGCCGACGTAAAAGCCGATCTTTCCTGTAGTGTCCTAATTAATATATTTTTATAACATTTAATTACAAGACTGTTATCTTTAAATGAAGGGTAAAATAGAAAATAAAGATAAAAAGTTACATGCAGAATAACACTTTTTTTGAAAAAAAATGAAATTTAAAACGACACTTGAAACGGAGGAAGTAATACTTTTTATAATTTAGGTATTTGATGAAGAAATCCCACAATTCCCAAGTCTTCGGATCTCACAAAATTTGTGCCAATTGGAGAATTAATTTTTAATAGTAAAGTTTTGAATAATATCGATTTGGTTACACCACACGCAACATTGTTAAAATTAATTCCAGAAGGAGCTGTCAGGTTTCATCCCACGTAAACGTTGACAGACCAACCGACGATGTGATTTGCACATTTTAATTTACAGAAAGATGTTTACTTTTTTCTGTTAATTGAACTAAATGTATATTTAGAAAAGAACTAATTTACTAATAAGTAATTACAGGCGTTACGTTATCTTTGAATAACCAAGCCACCAAGGAGTCGCTAAGAAACTTTCTATGCTACTATAAAATGCTATGAAGTATAAAATAATCAAAAAATGATTCTACATTATTTTTTTAAAATATAAATAATTAACAAATGCTAGATTATATCTACGAAATTTACCCTAATAAAAAAATTCCATATGATCATGATATATATTTATGCTGAGTCAAATTTTTATATAATAAATCACTCATAACGTTTTGACTATCTACTAAAGTTATGACTACCATTAACTGTCTATTAAAATCATTTACTAAATTGAAAATAGATTTCCTTCAAATTCATTTGTCCTCCAAATATTACTCTCTTTGCCAAATTACATACACACTTTACGTTTTTCTTAGTATTGTATTTTAATCAAATAGAATTAAAATTTTGCTAAACAAATTCTAAGATCGTTTTAATTGCCCCGCGTCTAAAGATCAACGTCGACGACTCAGTTTCTTCCTTCACAAGCGAAAAGATCAACGTCGACGACTCAGTTTCTTCCTTCACAAGCGAGCGAGAGAGAAAACAAAGAGTGTGATGTATTAGCTCTTCTCTCTTCGGCGTAATCATCGTTTCACATCTACCACAAAATTTTCTCATCACTCAAATTAATCTCACTTCGTTACTTTCTCGGGAAAATTTCCCGAAACCCCTCTCCCCCCTACCCCATTCTTTTTTCCTTCTAAATCTTGTTTCCAGATCTTTTTTTTTTTTTTTTTTCCCACAGATTTTCACTCCGGGGTTATTGATTTACACGATCTTTCTTCCTCTTTTACGAACCTGTTCATTGTATTTTACAGATTCTTGATATATGAACCCTCTTCTTGCCAGTTTCTATGACAAAATCTCTCCCCAATCTCTTATTTTAGTTTCCGAGAGATGGTTGAGAGATCAAACTCACGGTATCAAAGAACAATCATCACCCCAAAATCGATGATTTTCTTGTTTATATTAATCCTCTCTGTCCTCTCTTGGTTCTTAATCTTTTCTTCAACAAATCCTAACCGAGTTCTCGATTACATCTCAGTATCAGAACCCACAGATGCCCTCGTCAACATCATCAAGAACTCAAATGATCCTCCCCAAGAAAAAGATGCCGAATCGCCAAATCCAGAAAACAGAGAAGACGAAAACAGAGGAGGAGTAAAAACAGAGGAGGCCATTAATGAAAACAGAGGAGAAACCCTCCGATGCATCCAGAAGGGCTCTCCTTCTCCAGCGCCACTCAAAGTGTACATGTATGATATGAGTCCAGAGTATCACTTTGGGTTATTGGGTTGGAAACCTGAGAGGAACGACGTCGTTTGGCCTGACATCAGAACCAATGTTCCTTACCATCCAGGTGGGCTTAACTTGCAGCACAGTGTCGAGTATTGGCTAACATTGGATCTTTTGTACTCTGAGCTTCCAGAAGATTCTAGAACCTCACGTGCCGCGATACGTGTGAAGAACTCGAGCGAAGCTGATGTTGTGTTCGTGCCTTTCTTCTCTTCACTCAGCTATAACCGATTCTCAAAGGTTACGCAAAAGCAGACGAAGAGCCAAGACAGAGTGTTGCAGGTAATCAAGTCCAAAAGCTTAACCTTTTTGTTTTTTTGCTCTTAAAAAGTTTTGGTTTTTAACCTTTTGTTAACAGGAGAATGTGGTGAAATTCGTGACGGGACAAAAGGAATGGAAGATGACAGGAGGGAAGAATCATGTGATATTGGCGCACCATCCTAATAGTATGTCGACGGCACGGCATAAGCTATATCCGGCGATGTTTGTGGTCGCTGACTTCGGTAGATACTCGCCACGTGTCGCCAATGTCGATAAGGACATTGTGGCTCCATACAAACACCTTGTTCCATCCTACGCCAATGACTCATCAGGCTTTGATGGCCGTCCGATCTTACTCTACTTTCAAGGTGCCATCTACCGTAAAGCTGTGAGTCCTTTATATTTATTTAATTTTAATTTCTTGCGTATAGTCGAAACCAATTGGATTTCATAATTTACTGATTTTGATAACAATCTTGTAGGGTGGATTCGTGAGACATGAACTCTATGAACTTCTGAAAGAAGAAAAAGACGTCCACTTCTCCTTCGGTAGCGTAAGAAATCACGGCATAACCAAAGCCGGGGAAGGAATGCGATCATCGAAGTTCTGCCTCAACATCGCCGGCGATACTCCGTCTTCGAACCGTCTCTTCGACGCCATAGCTAGTCACTGTATTCCCGTGATCATCAGCGATGACATCGAGTTGCCTTACGAGGATGTTCTCAACTACAACGAGTTCTGTCTCTTTGTCCGATCATCAGATGCCTTGAAGAAAGGGTTTCTGATGGGTCTTGTGAGGAGTATCGGGAGAGAAGAGTGGAATAAAATGTGGCGGCGGTTAAAGGAGGTTGAGAGGTATTTCGATTTGCGTTTTCCGGCCAAAGATGACGACAGAGATTATGGAGTTCAGATGATTTGGAAAGCTGTGGCGAGGAAAGCTCCTTTGGTCAAGATGAAGGTTCATAGGTTTCAGAGATTTACAAGGCCTTTTCTCATGGTTTAATTAATGTGAAGATTAGGGTTTTTTTTACTGATCATTCTCATGAGATTTTGAAAACTTGGTTCTACATAGAAATGTAATGAATATAGTTTCAATTCAACCATGTGAATTCGAATGTATTAGTAAATGTCTACTGTTTATGCTAAGCCTTGTGGATAAATGTAATGAAACTAGTCTGATTAGACGTCAAATTCAGTTCGGTTAGAAATAGCCAACGCTTGTAACACCTAACTTGTGACACAAGTTTCTTATTCATATTGTATATATGATTACATAGATCGTTGGCTTACACTCTTTTTAAGATTAAAAAAAAAAAAACACATCTTACGTTATATAATCGGTTACACAGAGCTGCGAAATGGATAATCATTTAATCTCCGATCATTTATAACTCCTTCCTTGATTCCGAATCAACCTTGGACTGAATCGAGACTTTCTCAAGGAGCTTGGAGAGCCACTTGGCAGATTGTTTCTCGTGCCTTCCCAAATTGTGTGCATAGTCTACATAGTACAGTCCTGACCTCGTCTTGTACTCATCTTCCCACTCAAGTCCATCCATTAGCGACATCACAAAGTACCCTTTAACATTAACCTTGTCCTCGCTGCAAACAAAAAATGAAAAGCAAAAGAACCAATGGTTTTGTCATCAAATTTATCAACTAGAGAAGAAGAAACAGAGTTTTTTGTGGTAGCTGTGAAAAAGAGAGAAAAAAAAAAACTCACCAGACTGCTCCGTGTAATGCCATGAGATGTCTCATATGATAATACTTCCTGTTATTATCGCTGAGTGCATCGGGAAGTACATCTTTCTCTCCGAGTGTCTCCTTGTACCCTGCAAAGGCAACGGATTTGACCACTCAGATCAAGCTATGGAAACAGAGTCCGAGTTCAAAACAAAAGAAGAGAAAACCAATGGCTTACCGTTTCCAGTGACAAGGATTTCTGGATCATCATAGTTCTCTTTGATGTATTTCAAAACTTTTCTTAAACCGTCTGCGCAAACTGGGTATTTCGCAGCAGGTGGCTGAAATATCATTAGTATTACATCAGAAAGAGTCTTAGAGAAAAGCTCAAAATCGCTGTATAACAAAGAGAAAATATCGTGAGTATCAATAATACCTGAGAACCAATCTTGAACCCATCTGGATTTTGTGCTGCAAGTAAAACAAACAAAAAAAAAGAGGATTAGAAAGAATATCTCTTAATCATAAAGTAAGAAAAGAAAAGACATTCAAGGTTAGAAAAGCAGAGCATACAATGTAACTGCAAGTGAGAATCAGCTTCCCAACTCGGTTTCTCTGACTCAACATTGTCCACATGAGCAACAAACGAAGAAGTAAAGTAATTGATACCAACAAAATCATAAGAACCCTTAAGTTTCTCCTTCTGTTCGGGCGTAAACGATGGTAACCGAGCACCAACGCTATCTTTCATGGTCTGAGGGTAATCTCCATGTGTTATTGGTTCCATATGCCTGCAAGCAAAACATCAGAACCCAAACTCAAAACGCTAAACCCTTATTTAAGCTCACCTAAACATTAGTATTTTCTTTAAAAAACTACTCACCAGCCTAAAGTGAAATCCATAGCTCTCTTCACTATCTCCTCTGAAGGATCTGAGCTGGACTTCTTATCGTAAGGCTCAAACCACATTGGACTCTGAACGATTCCAATCTTTCCATCTTTGCACTGTTTAATTTGAATCCACACGTTAGATAGACCAATAGAAATTTGAATGAATCGCATATTTATATATATTGGCTGTTAAGATTTTACCTTTACACATTTCCTGAATTCTTCCACAGCTTCGGCATGAGCCAACAACAAATTGTGACTAACAGTGTAGACTTCATGTCCAGAATTTCCCGCAACGCATTTCTCATTGACATATTTAGAACATCTTCCTGGTGCTTTCTCTCCCGTGTCATATCCACCGATACTAAATTCATAAGGCTCGTTTATAGTAACCCAATGCTTCACTCTATCACCATATTCATTCAAGGCAAACTTTGCAAATTTCCGGAAATCATCCCTATATATACGAGTTTCATAAGATATTAAAATAACCGCGAGAAAGATAGGAAACAGAACTGATTTAACACAGTTTGGATCAAAGGACTTACAAAATACGGTCACTTAAGAACCCGCCATATTCATCTTCAAGGGCCTGAGGTACATCCCATTGAAACAAGGTAACCAAAGGCGTTACACCTGCAAAACCCAGTCAAGCATGGGATTTTAGCCACGAGGTCGTAGGAAAAATCAGATCTGATATGAATTGATAATTTGGAAGAAAGAAGAAAGACCGTTTGCAATGAGCTCGTTGATAAGATCATTGTAGAATTTAACTCCAGTTTCACTCACTCCCTTGTCCTTTTTCCCATCTGATTGTTTGGAGGGAAAAAAACAAAAACAATCCATTAGAGAGTGACTCACTACATCTCAATATCATTGCGAAAGAGCCATTAACCAAAGATTTGATTTGTCTTACGGGGAAATATTCTTGACCAAGAAATAGAGAACCTAAAGGCATCCATGTTCAGCTTTTTCAATAGTTGGACATCCTCCTGCAAAATTTTGAAAGGAAAAAAAATTGATCATTTGTTGTTTACACTTATTTGTAAGGGAATAGATAATCTGCTCGTTCAACATAACACATCGAATATATACCTTGTAATGATGATAGAAATCAACTCCAAGCCTGCCATCCAGGTTATTGTTTTTTTCTGCAGATATAAATCAGAGATGCTCATGACCAAAATCCAGACCAAAACAGTGACTTGTACATAGTCTAATAACAATATTTTCATAATTTCCTGGCTGATCAGAAGAGGAGGAAAGACCTGAATGTTTATGGGTGAATGAGTCCCAAATGCTCACACCTCGGCCTCCTTCTTCTGGTGCACCTTCATGCTGTACCAAACAAAACCAAGCAAAATTATATAAAAACAAAAAAAAAAACTTGTGAGAATTCGGAATCATTTAAATTAGAAACTAGAAAACGAATCATTAGTCTATAGAGCTTCAATATCTTAAGCCCTAGTTGATTACAAGTAAATGCCTTTAGGATGGGATAAAGCTTTCATTTTTCCTCTAAAAGCTTCGATCATTTCACCGTAAATACCAAATTCGATTCCTTTACTATGGATTTGGGACTTTAAACTTTTTAAATCAAACTTACGAGGCTAGTAGTCCTGAATATAGAGAAATTCTGTTTTTTTTAGCAAACACTGTTCACCGGAAAGGGAAAGTAGCTCCGGCAACAAATTGCTTAGAATTTCACGGGAAAGTCAACGGAGATTCAACACTTATAAATCCAAACTCGATTTTACCTGGAAAGCAGAAGTGGTAGCACCGAACAAGAAACCATCGGGAAAGCTTCCCCGACCAAACGTGGAACTCTCCGGACACACTGGTCCACCATCGGCGGTGGTCGGAGAAGCTATCACGGCCAGAAGTAAACCCAGAAAGAGAATCGCTTTGAATGCCATTTTCCAGACAAGTTTTTTTAATGCTTTACGAGATAATCATGTTCGATTATTTATAAGGATCGAGAACAGAATAAATTCATATCGATCCAATACTTCGACACGAAGATTAAAGCAATGCGAGAGAGACGTGTGTGACAAATGACTTAAATAAATATTATATTTAGATATTTACATTTAATGTAATTTCGATATCTTAGCCTATTCTTGTCGGAAGTAGAAACGACGTTAAGGTTTCTTGTTACCACGGTAAGAAAAATGGTCACAAGAACAGAACAAAGTCCTTTTTTTACCATATCGAAGCTACTGTTTTTTTTTTTTTTTTAAAGGTCAAATAAATAGAAACAGACAGTTTTGTTTATTTATTTGTTTGCTAAAATAAAAGAATTATTCCAGTTTTCATAAATTATTCGTATATTTCCTTAGGAGATGATTGCAGGTTTTCTCTTTTTTTTTTTAAAACAAAAAAAAATTATGCTTACGGATTTTCACTATCGTTTATTTGAAAATTGTTGTCGGTTTACCTATTACATGGATTAAGCTATGTAAATCATATGTGATAGAAACTAAGCTAGTAAGTAATTAATATTATACATTGTTGCCGATGTCCGATGAATTAATAGACATTAAAGGAAAGTTTATTGATGTTGAAAAAATGGATCATCTATATCTGAAATTCTGGAATGGTCCGATTCGAATGGATATATATTTTTTTTAAAAAAGAGTTTTCTTAAATTGGCTAATTGGAAAAAAAAAATATATCAGCCGAAAAACAGAGATGCTTAACGTTCTGTGCAGAGCAAACTACTTATATTAATCCAGTATAGATGATCAAATAGCAATGGTTAATAATTCCATGTTGCTAGAGTTATCTAATTTTCTTTTAATACTAATATCAAGCTGCTAGAATTCTGTTCTGTTTCTTTAATAACAGTTAGTTGGACCGACATAAAATTAATATTTGTACAACTTATATATTTATCTGATTAAAAATGGACTGACATCTGTATATTTTTCATCATTAAAAATTTTAAACATAATCTTCTCTACAAAATAACGAACTTTTATCCTCGCCATATTTTTTTGTCTTATGTCCTTTCTTTTTATTTTTTTTTCTTTCTGAAATACAAAAATTATAGTTTACAGACAAACGAAACCCAATCCCTTAAACCTCGCCGACGACGAAAAAATGGCATTCTCGTCTCCTTCGCTCCGCCTTCTTCCTCAGTACCCATTCGCTGCTATAACCCCAAAACGACACCGTCTCAGTACCGCCTTTGCATCTTCATCATCTTTCACTGTCCGAATTCCGGCATCGTCCACCGTAGTCCGCGCTGTCTCCGGAAAATCCTCTACCGGGACGAAGTCAAAATCGAAATCAAAAGCGAAACCTCCTCCTCCTCCGCCTCCATTTACTACTACTATAGCTAAAGATGAGATGAAACAAGAAGACACTTTCGAAGTAGAAGAAAGTCACGAATCAGAAACTGTCAACATTGCTGAAGATGTCACTCAAGTGAGTTTAAAGGAGTCAAATTTATTGAGCACAGACCCAAAACTTCTTAGAAAAGATTAGTCTTTTTATTAATAAACGGATTGTTAAAGGTGGATAATTTCACATTTCGATTTTGTCTAATTAGTTGATTGGAAGCACACCGATGGTGTATCTCAATAGAGTCACTGATGGGTGTTTGGCGGACATTGCAGCAAAACTCGAATCAATGGAGCCTTGTAAAAGCGTCAAGGATAGGTCCGAAAGATTCTCCGTTCTGTCTACAATTCTATCTTCATATTGGGAATTTTAAGTTATTTGATTGTTAATAGAACATTCCTCAATTTCCTGAACTGTTTTTTCTGTTTTCCGCAGGATTGGTCTGAGCATGATAAATGAGGCAGAAGACAGCGGAGCCATAAGTCCGAGGAAGGTTATTGCAAAGCTTGCTTTTTTAAACAATTTTGATATTGCCGCATTGTAGATTGCTGATTCGACAAGTATCAAATCAGACTGTGTTAGTAGAACCAACGACCGGAAACACTGGCCTCGGGATTGCTTTTGTGGCTGCAGCTAAAGGATACAAACTCATAGTGACAATGCCAGCTTCCATAAACGTTGAAAGAAGGATGCTTTTACGCGCACTTGGAGCGGAGATTGTGCTAACGAATCCAGAGAAAGGTCTCAAAGGTGCAGTGGATAAAGCCAAAGAGATTGTTCTCAAGACGAAGAATGCATATATGTTTCAGCAATTCGACAATACGGCAAATACAAAGGTTAGAAATTATATCCAAAGCTTTTTTTTTTTACTCTGTGATTCGAGAGGTTCCGGTTTTGTGGCCTGATAAGATGTTTTCCTCTTGGCTTTGTTTTGGTAAGATACACTTTGAAACTACAGGACCAGAGATCTGGGAAGATACAATGGGTAATGTCGATATATTTGTTGCTGGGATTGGAACTGGTGGTACTGTGACGGGTACAGGAGGTTTCTTGAAGATGATGAACAAGGATATTAAGGTCTTTCTCTTTCTCTTGTTCTTGGTTTTCTGGTATAACCTTCCTTAATCCTAAAGATCCTTAAAAACATAGGTAGTTGGCGTTGAACCATCAGAGAGAAGTGTGATTTCTGGAGACAGTCCTGGTAAAGAGCATTGATTAGGCTAACAAATTCAGTACTTTTCAAAATTGACAGTCCTACCACATGTTTTTCCAGGTTACTTACCAGGAATCTTGGATGTTAAGCTACTCGATGAAGTGTTCAAGGTTGGCAATAATCTCACCCTAATCAAAATCAGCTTTCCAACTATCGAAAAAAACTAAAAGAGGATCATTCGAAACGCTATAGGTTAGCAACGAGGAAGCAATTGAGATGGCGAGGAGACTAGCTTTGGAAGAAGGATTGCTGGTATAGACAACAGTATTTTCTTATCTTCTCGCTTCTTTCCTCTACATAACAACATCAGAGTTTATAGTTATGTGGGAATCATATATATATATATACACACACGTTAGGTCGGGATTTCGTCTGGAGCCGCAGCAGTAGCAGCAATCAGCTTGGCTAAAAGAGCTGAGAATGCCGGAAAACTTATCACGGTGAGGAGAAAAACAGATTTTCGATTTTCCAGTAATCACATTTAGTGGTTCCTCTCTAATAGGTTCTCATAAGAACAGGTTCTATTTCCGAGCCATGGCGAGCGGTATATCACAACGGCTCTGTTTAGTTCCATCAACAGAGAGGTTCAAGAGATGAGACATTAGTAGAAGCCATTAGAATCCCCTAAAGTAGAGTGTAAACATCATATCCCTCTGCAACTTGGAAACGAGAGGTAAAACTCGTCAGTTCTATCTACAAGGCCTTTTTGAAAAAACATTTCTTGACACAAACTCACTGAAGTTACCAAGCACAAGAAAGAAGAGATTGGGATGTAGCCAAGAAATTTGGAATACTGTTCAAGTTTTGTAATTGGGCCAGCGAAATCAATATTGTTTGTAGAAATTTAAGACCAAATTAATGGCCCAACGTAACATAAGCTCACTATAGACATATATAAAATTTTCGTTTTAATGTTTTTGAATTCTTTTTTGTTTTGTTTTTGTGAATACTTTTTCTGAGATTAAAAAAAAAATGTTGGGAAGATCAAATGCACAAAATCCCAAAGTAACTGCGCTAAAGTAATTTGGTGAATACGGAAGTACATGGTAAAGACGGTTTGAAGGAATTAAGGAAGCCATCAAAGCAACAAAAATCTCTCTATGAGTAAAATTAAGGAAATGAAAAACAATGATGATATATTTAAGATTTATGGTTACGAACACCGGCCATTCACACATGACATGACACTACACACAAGTAAATGACAAAACTACAAAATGAAAATTGTCTGCTTTGACTAATTCAACTTGTTAATAAATATATCGACCTAGCTATTAACAAAGTTTTGCTAAAATTATGTCAAAGATATTAGCGTCACCAAAAAAAGAATTTATGTCAACAAAACAATGAAATTATGTCAAAGATATTAGCGTCACCAAAAAAAAAAAGAATTTATATTCTAGGTTGAGCGGAGATTTGTTCATACGAATTTTACTCGTAACTATTTTTGTACATATATATATAGACCTATTTTTGTGGTTTCGACATAACTAATAACTTATGACTGAAATTAAGAGGAAATTGGATAAAAAGTGTGCTAATGAGAGCTCGAGTCGTAAGAGAAATACACTTTGTTGGCTGGTGGTCCATTTTGCCCTCTTTATTTCACGTCCATCTCTCTCAAGTGAAATAAAAATGGAGTCGCATGTATAAGGGCCCAACTAAATAAATAACAATTTAATACAATCTCACTCTGGCTAAAAATATATATAGAGCTGGATAAATGAGTGATTTGGCCGACATAGAAAAATGAGTGTGTCATAAATGTAAGAACCAAAAATATATTAACAATTTAAAACTTTCATGAAAAGAAGAAACTTATTGCAGAGTTACCGGTGCAAAAAAAAAAAAAAAAAAGAAAGAAAAGATATTTTTTCCAAATGAGAAAGATATTTTGTTTGTTGTTTCAAAAAAACGAGACACGAGTGCAATTTTCAAAGGGACATGAGTTTATTTACACATGGAAGATACTGCATCGAACGTGTATGCGTGTCACGTACAGCGAATTAGCTATCTCCATATTTGCGTAACGTGGAGGCTCTGTAAGGTCCCGTCCTACCTTTTTATCCCGTTACACCGCGAAATCTTAGAAACTAGAAAGCACTGTCGAAACAGCGTGCAAAAAAAAAAACGAAGAAAAACAGCATGTAGTATAAAAAGAACAGCATGCAGTCTATATTTGTTCTGAGTAAAGTTAAACGGGACTTTGTTGTGAGATCTAAATGTGGACTAATTCAGTATTGGGAAAATATGCTCTCTATGCTCTTTCACATTTTCTTTTCTTTTTCCATGGGAAAAAACCGAAACATAATTATAGCCCTTTTTATACAGTCGAAATAAATTTAAACTAGTCCCAAAAATTTGTGAAAAAATCCAATTTGTTGTTTAAAACATCTGTACTCTGTAGTAACTAAATGAAAAACCAGTACTTAAGAATCTATAATCGATGGTATTCGAACTTTTAATCCGAATTAATCACGTGAAAAATCATTCACCTCAACTACTTGACTACGTACGAGATCACTTGGTCCATCATAATACAACCTTTTTCTTGGGTCAAACTGTTTATGAGAGAGTTGTCCATTTTGAAAATAAATTGGAATTTCTAGCTAATATTGACAAAAAAAAAAGGGAAATATAAAGGGATTTTCTAATCATTTTCCCCGTAATTTTAGGGTCCAACCATTTTCTTTGTTCGTGCGGAATGCAATCAAGGCCGTTCGATCATTAGCTATTTTCCATGTCGACACCGTTCGATCGTTAGGTACTATCTTATTCGGTTGTTACCGATTTTTTTTTTTTGTCGTCTACCGTACGTGAAAAGGGATTATTTCTCAAAAACAAAAACGTGAAAAATGGATTATATGATAAATTGGTTAATAACACTACTAGAAAGAGAAACTACTATGAAATATTCATATTACTGTGAAATACCCTTTTTTAAGAGGATTAAATGTGGCAGAATGTTATAATGATAATTGATGACTAGAAAGTAGTAGATAGTGATAGTGCAAGTATTTTAATTTAGAAGAAAATAACTATTTGTAATATATTACCAACAATTTTTTGTATTATCTAAAAGTACACAGACATAATCACAAAGCCAAAATTTTCTATGTAAGTTTTCACCCTCTTCAACATAGGTATATATAAACAGATACATATAACAATTTCTCTGTACACGATACGTATAAGCCTATACGTCGTTTCTATCTCTATATGTATAGATATCCAGACGTTTCAGTTCTATTCTGACATATTCTCCTAAAAAGCGGAAAAAGGTAAACTTCAGTTTCCAATTTGTTTTCATTTCTTCATTATTTTCTATGAAACTGTTCTGTTGATGATTTCGCCGAGCCCTGTTTCTCTCTTCTTTGGTCTTCTCGACTTTGAGTCTTCTCTCTTAACTAAGGTAATTAATCACTCGATACTTCATAGTCTAGGTAGATATATACAACAAAAGTATATGTATATATATATACCTGCATACGAATCTTCGAGCACGAAATGAGTTTAAAGAAACACTATATAGCTCGCTTATTTATCTTTAAATTTCTCCTCTAGTCTTACATAATTAATGTCTGTCAGAGAGGAATTGGAAAAGAGAGAAATAATCGATCTATAAAGCACAGAGAGATGTTCTGACAAATCTAGTTTTTATTTGGATCTTCTTTCGACAGTCTAACCAACAAAATTTGTGTTTCTTTTTAATTTCCGAGAACGTTCTATTATTTTAATAGGATTATAAAAAAAAACTCTGTTTGACATTGATAGTTCCGAACTGCATGCTTAGTTTCTCAAGTAATATATCTGCGAGATGGAATGGATAGTTCGTGCCTTTTGGAAAGTAAAAGGGAAATATTGAATTTTGAAGTAGTGAAAGTTAAAAGGAATGCAATATTTTTGTTTTTCTATTTTTTGTCCCCTATAAAATACCTCTTTGAAGCCTTACTGGAATATATGTGTGTCATTGATATAATTCTTCTACTGATACCTATGCAATAATCCGCCATACAAAACACATTTCATTTTTTAAAACCTTTACGAAAAATAAGTAATTAAGTTTGATATCTTTCATTTCAGATTTTGTGTTAAAGGACGGGAGAAGGAAACAGCAAAGAAAAATGAGCACTCAAGGAGAAATGGAAGAGAGGCTACTACGTGTAGGATCAGACGCTAACAAAGGTCAGAGCAACAATATAGAGAGTCTCTATTTGAGAGCGAAGGTTTGGAGTGAAGTAAGGAAAATGTGGAGAATAGCATTACCTTCGTCTTTGTTCCGAATGACTTCGTTTGGGAGCATCATTGTGGCTCAAGCCTTCATTGGTCACTCCTCTGAGTTGGGTCTATCCGCCTATGCTCTCCTCCAAAGCACATTCGTCCGCTTTCTCTACGGTTTGATGGTATAAAAACTACTACTAATCTTAGTTTAGTCTGAATTTCGACTTGGAAACAAAATACGTTGGTTTGAAGTAGAGACAGTCTTTTAGTCTTTGTGGTGTTAATATATATATATAGGGAGGTATGTCAAGTGCGACGGAGACGTTATGCGGGCAAGCATACGGTGCAGAACAGTACCACACAATGGGAGTATATCTACAACGTTCATGGATCGTGGACATTGCTGTGACCACTTTGTTCCTACCGTTTATCATATTTGCGGGTCCCATTCTCCGTCTATTAGGCCAAAACGTTGAGATCACAAGGACCGTTGATGAGATCTATCCTTGGATGATCCCTTATGTCTATAGCTTGATTTTCACTATGACTATGCAAATGTACCTCCAAGCACAAATGAGGAACGCTATTGTAGGGATTCTCTCAACCTTGTCCTTGGCTCTTGACCTCCTGGTCACGTGGTGGTGCGTGAGTGTTATGGGGATGGGTATTGGTGGTGCGCTCCTTGGGCTTAATGTGAGCTCGTGGGCTATGGTATTAGCCGAGTTTGTTTACGTTTTTGGAGGATGGTGTCCATTTACTTGGACCGGGTTTAGTACTGCTGCTTTTGCTGATCTAATTCCTATGCTCAAGCTCTCCATTTCTTCAGGCTTCATGATCTGGTAATTTACCTTTTTTTAGTGTATTTTTTTAATTTAACAGCTTCAATGTTGTATAATCAAAGTCCTATTGAAATTAATGTTGACACAAAGAGGGCCGAGGGGAGTATTAAGTAGATTTAGTATAAGCTAGTGGTGTTTATGTTGGCAGTGTTATACTTCTATCCTCTAATAATATATCTCCTTCCATTTTCGAACAGCTTAGAGTATTGGTACATGAGCATCCTTGTCCTAATGGCTGGTTATACAAAAGATGCGAATATCGCAATCTCTGCTTTCTCAATATGGTAAATTCAAAATCTTCCTAGTCATTTGCATATTTTTACAGTTAAATTATATGAATTATATCATACTGGAATTTTCTTGCAGCCAATACATATATACATGGGAGCTCAACATATGCCTTGGCTTCTTGGGTGCAGCTTGGTAATGCTCTCCTATACTAATCTTGGGATATACATGTAAATATATTAAACAATGGGGTTATGTTTTCTTCTATGAAAATGTGAACAATGGTAGCGTTCGAGTGGCTAACGAGCTGGGGAAAGGAGATGCAGCTGCAGTGAGATTCTCGATTAAAGTGATACTCACAGTGTCAACAATAATGGGAGTAATATTCTCAGTTCTATGTCTGGCTTTCTGTGGTCAGATTTCGTATTTGTTTTCGAATAGCAAAGAGGTTTCGGAAGCAGTGGATGATCTATCGATCATCCTTGCCGTGTCAATCTTACTAAACAGCATACAACCTATACTCTCAGGTTACACATCTCTAATATATAATCTCTGATCTAATGTAATATTGTCTTTTAGACTTAAGTTTTGTGTTACTTTTGATTTGTTTGGTTTAGGATG